TCATTGGACACGGGGGCTGAATCTCTTTGGTCAGTGAAAGCACTACACTGCATTCCTTACGTGGGTGAAAGCTTTCACTACTGAGAATTGTTTAACAGGTGACCAGTGCCACTCCTTGGAAATGCTGAGCCCTGCCCAGTTCTTTCAAAGAATACGCCTGTGCGCTTAAGAGGACGCTGGGTCCCCAGGTTCACAACATCATAGACAGAGTTTGCAAATGGCGAGAGTTTAGACATAACCTATGTGTTTAGTGTTGCTGTTGGCTCGTCGTAGGCATCTCCAGTACTTGGCCTGGGTGGTTTGGGTATTATCCTTACATGTCTCCGTCTCTCTCTGTGTTATATAAGGTGCTTGGGAGTCATAACTCTGGACTAGGGAATTCACGGTGGGCGGGATACCCAAAAGATAGGCATTGTGGCACTTAAAATTTGAGGTGGCAGAGTTTAAGGCTTTTTCTGGATCTTTGGATTCCAAGTCCGTTTTTCAGAATAATCTGCTTCTGAACTTTGGGTGGTTTTTTCCCCCCATTTCTTCCAAATGAAGTAAATTGACTTCTACTGGACTATACATTTTACCATCCCGTTCTGGCTGTAGCATGATTCCCAAGAACATATGGGTTAGAAACACCAATATTTTAGAACTTTTAAAGATGAATCTTAGACAAAAGCTAATATTAGGTGTTCACAGTAGTATTAAGAAAATTGAACGGAAAATCTTGATAAGTATCTTCCTTCATATAACACAAAGGGAATACTGTGGTTTCAAGTAGGAGGAATTCTAAAACTTCCCTCTGTCTCTTACACTTGGGAACAAACTCATTTCAAACCTCACCAGTGTGAGCAGTATGAATCCTGAAGGAACTTCCATACTTGGTTTTCTGTACTATAATTTGTGGCACTCCCTAATTTGACTGCAGCTAATCAATAGTTACTGGAACATGATGTTTCTGGTGACAAATGGTGCAAGTTTGCCCTACTTCTCCCAAAGCAGAGATGTTTCTGGCACAGGAGCATGATTTCCGGATGCTACATAGAAAACTACTTCCATAGTCCCCTTTTCATTCATCAAAGCTGCTTTACAGTATCAGTATAGCATTATTCAGGCCTGGGATTTTCAAAGATGGGCACCAAGATCCAAATACAAGGCTATGAAATAGTAACTTTTATGAGCACTCTCAATGTTTCCAGCCTAAGATGTTAAGAGGAATGACAATTTTAATTAGTGTTTGTAATTACATGTAGAACTACAGTATGAGAGGAAGCTCCCTAAAAATCTGTCATTTTAGGCAAAGTCACACTAAATATTTTATTCTGTTAAGATTATTTAATGCCATCAAAAACTCACAGCCTCATAACACAAAATACTAACTGCCATAATCGCTACTTCAATCTCTAATTCAATCTGCTAGTTCAAATGTTCAAAGGCTTTTTGATTTTGGAAGGGGTAAATTAATTCTGGCAGACTTATAGCTATGTCAGATATCATCTGTCTTCTCGTTCTATCAGATTGAGCTGGACGGTCCCCTTATAACTAGGATAAAGCCAACTCGAACACCATTTTGAGTGCTTGGACTAAATAAATCAGAAATTTGATTATGTGCACATAATCTATTAAAAATAAATGAAAGATTTGGCATGTTTTTCCTAGCCCATCTACTCAGGACAAGACTAAGCCGCTGACATCTTTGCTGAAGGTGACTCCGAGTCTCTTTTTCCCCCAAAATACTCTATTGATGCAAGAATGGCTATACCAGGTCAAACCAGGGCCATCTTGCCCTCTCTGCAGCAATGGATGCCTACAGAAGAATAAAGAAACATTAATGATGCTTCCCTAGAATACTCTTTCGTTCTCTAGCAATGTATGTTTCAGGAACTTCCTCAGTCAGAGGTACCACCTTTGCTTTTAATAGTACTTGATGCCCAGTATCTGTTGAACTCAGAAATTTCTAGCATCCATAACAAGAACGTTCCTGATTAATTGTAAATGTAAAGAACTGCCTATTTTTTTTCCTCGGAATTTGCCACCTGTTAGTCATACTGCCAGAGCTGGTTGAGTTTCTCACCTTGCTTCATTCAGTAAGAGAGATCACAAGATAAAAAATGCTGCTTCACGGTACTGAGTTTGAATGCTTTTTTCTTCATCGTATACATGCACGTACTCTTCACCTAGTGTCATTAGTATAGGATCATTGCCTGGTTCTTTGCTTTAATTCATAGAGTCCTAACTCTAACTCAAATGCTCTGAGAGCATTTTCAAGGTCTCAACAGCAACTTGCCCTCAGCTGATGAGTCTCCAACCCTTTTGCGTGGTAGCCTACCTCAGGAGCCAGAACTGATGTCATACGGCAACATAGCAACATTCAATTTTCCTATTTTCTGAACAGCACAAACTCTGTTTCTGCAGACTTGCTCATTAAGTCAGCAGAAGATGAGTCATCTGGAAAAAAACTATAATCATTTGTCCCCTAGGAGTCATATAGTAAGTTAATTATTGTACAACACATTCTAATACAAGATACACGAGCGGTTTCAACTTGTTGAGGTTGCAGAGGGCAAGAGAGCTTTTCAAAATTTCCATCGGTTATGGTCTGGGAATGCTGGGTTTCCCTTGACTCAGTATCTGTTGCATAATCAGAAACACATTTGGTTCCCTTTGTTGTATGAGACAATGCTAAAGAAATGTGTGTGTTATTACTTTGCAAAAATAAAGAGTAGATACCTAATCGGCTTATGTCATGTATGCAGTGTTTGTAAACATAACTGCTCTGGGGCAGTTCCTCAGCTGATGAAAACTATTACAGCTTGTATCAGTTGAAAGAATGCTCTTCCAAATCTGCAAATACCCTATCGCTATTGCATGGGAAGTCAAAATATAGGAATGTGATGTGCCATATGAATTTGAGGTAGCATTGTGTTAAAACCTGCTTGCCTGGAGTTCACCTGTCGGTGTGGTGGACTTGAATCTGATCATTGTTATGTTTTAGTTATTCATACCCAGTCATCCCAGCTTTGTTGGGCTA